ACACACAAAGGGCCTTGGGAGAGAGCACATTCAACGGCATTTGGCAGGGGGATTTTTCAGTCTCATCCCGAGTGCCAGTGCCCACTTCCAATTTTAAACTGCACTTAGACACAGAGGGCTGTGGGTGGAAGTGGGGTGGTGTGGTGGCATCAGCTGTCATAGACCAGATGATGCCCGCACTGCCCGCTCACCACAGCCATGGAATACACCTCATCAACACTCACTAACACCATATTGGAGCAGGTGGAGGGAGACTAGTGGTCTTAGCACACGTCTGTTGTTGCTTGGCTTCCCTGGGCTGAAGGCTAGGAGGGAGATCTGGCCGTCTGGTTGGGGTCTGGGGTGGTGGGATTCTTTGCTCAGCGTTGGGCAAGGGAGCCTGCTCATCAGCGCCAAAGCAGAAAGGGTCCAACTCTGGGAACCGGTAATGGTTGTGTTGCAAGCTCTCGCATGCCAGAAACAATGGAGGTAATTAAAGAGGTCACAAGGAAAGCAAAGATGAGCGAGAGCCTGCTGATGCGAGTGGAATCAGGCAGGTGATACAGAGAAGTGGTCCAACTGAAAGGAAGTAGCACAGGATGAGGGACAGAAGAAGACCAACTGAAGAGACATCTCAGGAAGTGAAAGTCCTCCTTGGGGGAGTATGGACTTTGGGTGAACCTGAAACCATCTTACAACTGACAAATGATCTCATTGTCTTGCTGTCTTGTGATAAAAAGATATATGTAACTGACAAATGACCACATTGTTTGGCTGTCTCGTGACTGGTTGATATATTGCTTCACTATGGAAATTGTTTTGCTTTGCAGTTTTCAGAATGATATATAAAGAGCAGTTAGAAGTAGTTCAAAAAGAGAGATTTAGAGAGTTAGAGTTGACACAAGTTGACGAAGTAGCAGCGACAATTGCAGGAAGAGAGAGCAGTTATTCTCAGGGAGATTTTTAGAAGCAGCATCCTCCTAAGGGGATTTGTTGATCTTAGAATTACTCTTTTTGTAATTTTTAATTTTGAAATAAACTTTTTGGAAAAATAATCCTCGTTCTCGATTCTTGAAGGACTCTTTTAGCCTTTGAGTGGGAGCCCCGACCAGATCTGGTAGCAAAGGTAAGCCACCTTATTGCTTGTACCTGTAGTCCAGGACTTGTTTCAGGTTGTGACAGATCAAGAAAAGATACCTTAGGTAATGGGAGCTAGTCTCTCCTCCTCCCTCATGTAACGGGACATCCTAAGGATTATAAACCATAATGGTTAGTTGGTTCAAACAGGCTCTGTTCTGCAGGTGTGAAAAAGTCTCTGTTTAGCGTGGGAAGGAACCATTTCAAAGGGTGGATTAATTAGATTAATTGATAAATTCATGTTAGCCTGATCAACTAACAGGAATCATTTTCTAGTTACCATCGCCCACATATGCTGACAGAGGCGCAAATTAATCCTGATAGTTAACTGTGCTAGACTCCAGTATACTTTCGCCCTAGTATTTAAAACCATTAAATAAAGGGAAATTAAAAAGGAAAGTGTGTTGTCACAGGAAAACAAGTACGGCAATCTCCATTCCACCTTAAAATAGAAAACTAGTTCTAATTAGGGAGTCCGAACCAGGGTCTGTACAATAAAACTCACCGCGGCCTCATCACCCTGAAAAAGCAGCGTATTCTAATGGAACCACTAAAGTGCACGCTCGCTTCAGTTGTACCCCATGTAGCGTTATGAATATCATAATTGTCTGCCCTTAACAGCTGCCCCTTTACACAGTAACAACGTGTAGGAACCGCCAAGGTCGGGTGCTGGTTTCAGAATGTTTACATTCCAGAAGAAGAAGAAGAAGAGAAGAAGAATGCTTTTAATTAATCAAAGTACTTTATTTGTGATAAAGCTAGTCAAAACATATGTTGATCAATAATAATCAGGTGAATGATCTGTGAAATAAAGATGTCATGAGTTATGTGTTTAATGAATAAACAGGACTGCACCAGACAGACTGATCTACATTAACATGGAAACGCATGACACATTGTTCTCAGCCAATCAGAACTTTCGTCTGTCGTAGGGCAGAATCTGGGTTGTTTAATGAAGTTTTCCAATCCGGTTTACTAAGATTTATAAACAACTAGGGGATATAAACCAGGCAACGCCATTTTAAACTCAGTTCCGTTTTAACCTCAGTTCTGTTCAGTTGGAGGTCCTAAGGAGTTCCATTGTCATCATTAAGAAAGTTGCAGGCTGGCCAGCTGCACTTTCCTACTTTAAGCTGAGAACTGTCAAGCTGGAGATTTCTGTCGTTTGAACAACAAGACGGCATTCCTTCAAAATAAGAGCTAACTCGCTGACGCCTGCCACTGATACCGGGAGTCGATCCGCAGACAGGCTTTGTCGTGCTGCGACCGCTGTTTCACCAGCTCCAGTACATCCGAAGGTCCAAGGACCTTGCAATTCCTGATCTAACACGGGAGGCTCCACATGGTACGTAGTTACGGCAAAATGGCTGAAATAGCATTGAAATAGTCTAAACTGGGGGGCGCTAACTCGTGTCCTAGGTCCAGCTGTTCTGACCAGGCCGGTTCTGAATGAAATAGTTGAAATATGAAGGAACGGAAGGTCAGGACGCTACTGGAAAGGGTTTAATAAGGTCTGTGTCCCAGGAGACAGTCTGCCCCGCCGTGAGATGTCATTGCGGGTCGTAATACGATCGGAACTGCAGACTGTATGTGATATCATAGCGCCGCATTAAAGCTGCTGCTACATAGACGCAGTGCAGGCTGACGGCTGTGCACTGGCGTTTTAGTCTCTTGTAATCACACTGTCGCTAGATTGTTTAACGTTTTCCTATTGCTACTGAGGTACAAACATTTTGGACACCGCTGCTTTTGGCTTAAAACCTCAAGTTGAACTAAAAATCACTCATATTGCCTTATGATTTGTGTCCTTCTCATTGGTTTTGGTGTTGTGACTGTTGTTTTCGCATCTGCCGCTTGCTGATCATTGTTGTCTGTGTGGCTTTGTGGGTTTAATGTTGTCGTGGCCGAGGCTTTGAGCCTGGTTCGTGTGTGTGTGTGTGTGTGTGTGTGTGTGTGTGTGTGTGTGTGTGTGTGTGTGTGTGTGTGTGTGTGTGTGTGTGTGTGTGTGTGTGTGTGTGTGTGTGTGTGCGTGTATCGGGACTTTGAGAGTGTTACGTGTGACTGGGTCGGCAGCCATTTTGCTGTCTGTGTGTGTGTGTGAAGAATTGGCTGGAGTTCCAAGGGTGTGTTCGGAGAGGGAAAGAAACAGGGAAGTTGCTGGGTGAAGGATAAATTTGGGAGGTTTGGGGGCAATTTAAGGTCCGGTCGATAAGCGTGGGAGGGATTTGAAATCCAGTGGGCAACATTTCCACCTTCTGTCCCCAGAGCAGGGGGATTTATAGAAGCCCTCAGAGGCTAGAAAGCCGACTTAGCCGAGTGCACGTCAATCCACATCGTGACTGTGCCTGGTTATTACTGACCAAATAATAACTTATCAACTGAGTAAAGGCCTAAGGGCTATAAAATAAAATAAAAAATCAAAATGACAGTCGAAAGGGAGTCTCCAAATTGTAGTTTTATCCTGAAATAAAAACAAAATAAGAGTTGAAAGGGATCCTGCAAATAATCAAAATAAAGGCGGCACAGCTATTAATTGCTTATTGCTCTTGTGACCCGAGTATTTTATTTATTTATGGTGGATGGTTATGACTATGGATGAAAAGTTTGGTTTAAAGTAATCTAGATTACACACTGTTCCCTTGCTTTCATGTAAATGGCTCCATTCTATTGATCTTTTATTTGCCTTTTAACTGTATATTGGGTTACTAATTTTCCAAATCTTCAAATGCAGACAGGGGACTTTGGGTGATGACAACCCAAAATCTTGGTATACAAGAGGCCCGTAGTGCCTGTTTGAATTCAAAACTACAGATGGGGTATTCCAAAATAATGGTTGTCATCATTTGAATCTCTCCGATATCTGATATTCTGTTACACTGTTTAGAAGTATGAAGAGAAGTGGGAAAGTCACAACTGAGTTGACTCACACTAGCATTGTTTTTCTCTTGTTGATTTATGGTGGCCACCAGCGACGTAATTTTTTTTTGGGGGGGGGGGGGGGGGACATGTCCCCCCAACTTTTTCAAAAGTCAAGTGTTGACCCCTGCACTTTTTACCATCCAAAACAATATTACGCTATATTAAATTGACACTGGTTGAGCTCTAGGACCAAGCAGAAAACAACTGTTTGTGTTGAAGCCTGGTTCCCATTAGAGCATACTGTAAAGATGTAAACACCAGCCACAAATCCCAGTCACACTAAAATCCCGGGTTTCGGCACCAAAATGTTAGGTAATTTTATTTCCCATCCAGGGTTACCTTAGGGAAAGTTCAACACGCAGGGGTTATATTAATAAGCCGATCAATTAACCCATATGAATCTTTACTAACAATAAACAATTTAGACTTTGCAAAGTGGAGAGAGATAAAATGATACACACGAGTCGGTAGTCAATTCGCTCTCCCAGACAGAACCCTCAGAAAGCATTTATTAAGGACACACAAAATGGTAAAACGCACACACATTTACACACACTAAAACATTGATGCACACACTTTGATATTCCTTTAGACTCTCAGCGAGCAGGGAGACAACAGGTGCGGGCACAGGGAGTTCTTACTGATAAGCCAGGACTGGAAGGAAAGAGGCAAGGTCACCATGCCAGAGTAAAATTAACTGGGTGAAGCTTTCATTTAAAAGTAATTTATCCATAATTTATCCCACAGCAGCTGGAGTTCATGAATAATCAGCGGTCTGCCTGCCGCTCTGCTCAAAAGAATCCCCGCTACGCTGAGTCCATGTAAATAATATAATAAAGGTAGAAACTGGATCTCTTTTGTGCTCCTTCTGGGTGTGTAAGTTAAGGGCATCAGGGAAGCCTGACAACCTTTAAGGAGAACCAAGTTGCTCTCCTGTAATTTGAAACCAGTATCCAAGTCCGGATCGGGAAAAAAAGCCTGAGCCCCGATCACTCTGAAGCCACGTGATCGGGGCCAATTTCCGATCATGTAATGGGATCGTGACAGCCCAAATAATAAGTAAAGGTAGCTTTAGTGTGCTCATAGGAAACGTAAGAAAATAACACTAATCACATTTCTCTTTATGGCCTATATAGTTGTCATCAACGTTACATGATTTACAGAATACATGTGGCCAACTAACATTTTTCATTCTACCACCGGATGCTCGGATCAGAATGTGAACCAATCAGATCTTAGATCAGGTGAGAGCCAGGCGTTTCCCGTCATGCCCTAGGTTTTGCAGCCGGTGGAGAGCAACTGCAGCGCCTTGCTCCAAAATCTGCGGTCGCCTTGATCTCACAATGTTATCGTTGCCTACGTATGCATGACGTCAGAGCAAGTCGGCGTCAAGTCGGACACAAATCTAACTGGCATGCACCGCGCGCCGATCACCGGTGATCAAATCTGCACAGAACTGGCTCATCTCGAACAAGCCCATGGCCAAGGTTGGGGAATTTCCACCATGGGAGGGAGGGGTAATGGGAGGAGACGTGACAGCCCCAGCCAAGCACAAGTTTAAAATGCAGTAGCCGCTGTTCTACCTCAAGGGGGCAGCACTAAGACGTTTTTAGACCTACATTCTAGATTTAATCAAGTTTACATGTCAAAAAAGCACAGAAACACAAAGATTTCATTTGTAAAGACCCAATCATGCAGTTAATTAGCAAAAAAGTTACTTTGTTTTTTTTTGGGGGGGGGTACTCTTTAAGGACTTTAATGGGGTATGAACTACTCATATGTGATATAAGATTTACAAGGGCTTCTCTTTAAATGTGCTTAGCACTAACTGAGCCAGACTTATTCAGCATCAGGGTTTCAGTTTTAAATGGGTACTTTGCAACTTTCCATATCATTTTCTTGATCCGGGATTTGCTGAACCGGCCCTTTACAGGATTAATGAAAAGCACCCAGCCCCCTATCGCCCCCCTGTGGCCAGAATATTCCACTTGCAACTTCAGACTGCCGGGCCGCCCTGTTGGGCTGACATACCTGGTGCTGCAGTCTGGTTCCAGCTCCTTTTAGATCATGAACCCAGCTGATTTGTTTACTTTAGAGATAAATCATTCCTGTAGACAGTAAGGAAGCCTGGGGAGACATTTCTACAGTTAGATGAAGGTGTTAAAAAGGCAACCGCACAGCGTCGAGATGGGTTTAGCTTTCTGTTCTACAATTGGAAAATAGGGAGTGCTAAAAGCAAGCAAAAACTGTCTAGATCCCCTTTAACATAAACTATTACATACACCCTGTCATCACCACACCATAGGCAATATTGTGAATAAAGCTAATTGCTGAATATTTTAAGGGCTATAGAGGCTTAAAGATATGCAGTAATATAGGATTGTATCTTACAAAAGCCTCATTATTTAGAAAAGCCCTGCTGTTACTTCAGCCTAATTTAATTAAGTACATTCAATTACATCGTAGTAAATGTCCTTGAGTCTTTCAAGAGTACATTTTAAGCCTTAGAACAAATAAAATTAAACTCCTCATTGTCGTTCTTTTTCACCCACTGATGTTGTCCTCCTGTCTCCATGGCTCCAGACATGTCACAGTCATCCTCTGGTCCACCTGAGACCCAGTTCTTATAGCTGACCGCCTCATCACTGACCCAGAACCATAAGTCCAGAGTGCAGGTGTAGCGCAGACCCGTCCAGACAAAAGGAGTCGATGCATCCTTGACTTTCTTCTCAACCCATCTCTGATCATCAAGGTTGGTGATGGTGACCAGGTCATGGTAGTGATCTCTGCAGTAGTACAAGGCCTCCTCCCAGTTCATCTTCTCTTTGATCAGGATCATGTTATCTGTCAGCAGATTGAATAAAACAAACAATTATCAAATATAGACGTTAGTGTAAACGTGCTCCTACACGTAGGCTTTTAAGCAATGTGATAGCTGTAAAGTGGAATGAATTTATTTGCTAGGTTAAATTTTTCACTAGTGAAAAAACTACTGCTTCGTTCTTCAGTTAAACACGAGGATGTTTTTTTTCTCATGTCTTAAAGAAAGCTCACCACCATAACAGATGAAGGGTTTTGGTTGATCACAGTCACCACTCATCCATCTGCCTCCATCATCAAACACAGCCATGGCACATTGACCAGAGTTGTATTTATCCATGTTAAACTGTAGATTCCAGAGTCTGAAAGAGGACCTGCTGCCATCTGACCACTTCCAGGTGTCTCTGAACATACCTATGTGTATGTTCGTACCAGCTGCTTCAGGACTGAGTAGATCTTTTAGTTGTGGGTCCTGTAACTGGTTCCATCCACTGATTAGGTCTGTGTGACTCTCTCTGCAGTATCTCTGAGCTTCCAGCCATTTCACTGGTTGGTTGATAAGGAAGAATTGCCTTGTGTTTGTTTCTGTGGAGAAAAAAAAGGTTTATTTGGGTTAGATTTTTGGCCTGTGCTGATGGAAATGTGCAATTTACATTCTCTAAAATATGTAATCCAGACTGTAAAAAATTTTTTACTTCCGAGTTTTTTTTTATAAACTCACCATCATAGCAGAGAAAATGTGCTAATAGAACCTTACAATGGACATCTATCCATCTGAGATCTTGACGCACAATTACACAGTTCTCATCTCCTCCTGCATCACTTGGTTCTCCTGAGCGCCAGTTTGTCTGACTGTCATTGAACTCCACTCCAGGCAGAGACCAGTACCATGTCCTGTTGGCACCTGTTTGGTCTCTCAGACCAATCCAAGCTTCATTCCTGTTCCCTGATGATTCACTGATGAGTCTCTTCATGTCTGCCATGTTAGACACTGTAGCCAGGTCAGTGTGTCTGTCTCTGCAGTAGCGCTGAGCTTCAGACCAGCTTTTATTCTCTCCAACATGGAGATACTCATGGAGCTGACATGTGATGACGCAACTCTGAGCTGGAAACAAAGGCAGATGGGTGTGATCTCTCCATATGAATGTGTACTGTAACTGTAACTAGTAACTGTAGTTGTGCTTTAGATCCACTCACCCATCAGAAACAGCAGAATCAGACTCCACTGCATTTTTGCTCTGCCACATGGAATTATCTGTCTCCAGCACTTTGTCTCTGTTGGACGAAGGACGCATTTAGACACTTCCTGTCCAGGTTTGAGACGCTGTAGCACTCCCTCCTCTGGACAGAGACACTTAACCCAACCAGAGTAAACACAGCTAACAAAAATGGACGGAGCCTTGAGAAAACTCTTATTTCTAATATTTTATTTTGTTTATATATCAATTCAATCTGACACAAGTCATCTCAAGGCACCTTACAAAGCAAACATCCCAACTCAGCCTAAGTAGTGCCTTGACCCCAGTTTATTATTCCAGTCAGTTCAAGTGGAGTCATTTTGGTTCAATTCCAGGGACCCATGGTATGGAAGTTGGGCATGACTTATATCCATCTATCTATCTATCTATCTATCTATCTATCTATCTATCTATCTATCTATCTATCTATCTATCTATCTATCTATCTATCTATCTATCTATCTATCTATCTATCTATCTATCTATCTATCTATCTGTCTGTCTGTCTGTCTGTCTGTCTGTCTGTCTGTCTGTCTGTCTGTCTGTCTGTCTGTCTGTCTGTCTGTCTGTCTGTCTGTCTGTCTGTCTGTCTGTCTGTCTGTCTGTCTGTCTGTCTGTCTGTCTGTCTGTCTGTCTGTCTGTCTGTCTGTCTGTCTGTCTGTCTGTCTGTCTGTCTGTCTGTCTGTCATCTAGGATGGATAGATAGATAGATCAATATATATATAGATCTATATATATTAGATATAGATTTGAAACGGCTTAAATATTCTTTTGTTTACTTTAGAAAGTAAAGTAAAATGCTTTTGCAATGGTAAGTTACTGATGAGGTAATGATTAGTGAGTCATTATAAGTGATTACTTCAGGAGCCACAAAAAGCTTAAGGAATGATAAGTTACTGATTAGAAAATGATAAGCCATAAGGAGTAATAACGTAAGTCCGGCAGAGCTATTAGGGAATAGGAGATTTTCAGGTGAGAGAACACTTTTTCCATGTATATTTTTCTTCATAAGGAATCTTTGGGCTGCTGTTTGTCAGATCCCTCACCTAGGACCTGTTTGCCATGGGTGACCCTACCAGAGGCATAAAGCCTCAGACAACTTAGCTCCTAAGATCAATGGGATGCTCAAACCCTTCCAACACAGTAAGGTGAAAGCCCAGGGCCAGGTGGTGGGACATGTTGGTGTGCGCCTGGTGGCAGGACTTTCAACCATGCCAGGCACAGTCGAAAGAAGAAACATGGGTCCCCCTCCCCATGGGCTCAACACTTGTGGAAGGGGCCAAAAGGGTCAGGTGCAGTGTGTGACAATTAGTAGCCGAGAGTTGGGATCTTGGTGGTCTGACCCCTGGCAGCAGAGGTGGGCATACTAGTTGCCCTGCATCTTGGTGCCTGTACTTTGGGGTTAAGCTCTGTGAACTAAAGGGTAGCTACAACTGCAGGGGGATCACACTCCTGAGCATCCTTGGTAAGGTATATTCAGGGGTTCTGGAGTGGAGGGTCCATCATCGTTGTCATCGTCTTCCTCCGCTTATCCGGATCCGGGTTGCGGGGGCAGCATCCCAACTAGGGAGCTCCAGACCGTCCTCTCCCCGGCCTTCTCCACCAGCTCCTCCGGCAGGACCCTAAGGCGTTCCCAGACCAGATTGGAGATGTAACCTCTCCAACGTGTCCTGGGTCGACCCGGGGGCCTCCTGCCGGCAGGACATGCCCAGAACACCTCCCCGGGGAGGCGTCCAGGAGGCATCCTGACCAGATGCCCAAACCACCTCAACTGACTCCTTTCGATCCGGTGGTTTTACTCAGAGTCCCTCCCGAATGTCCGAGCTCCTCACCCTGTCTCTAAGGCTGAGCCCGGCCACCCTACGGAGGAAACTCATTTTGGCCGCTTGTATCCGTGATCTCGTTCTTTCGGTTATTACCCAAAGCTCTTGACCATAGGTGAGGATTAGGACGTAGATCGACCGGTAAATCAAGAGCCTGGCTCAGCTCCCTCTTCACCACGATAGATCGGCTCAGCGTCCGCATCACTGCAGATCCTGAGCCGATCTATGTGTTTTTTGAATTTGGAGAAGTTGTTTGACCACATTACTTGGGGGGCCCTGTGGGGGTACTTTGGGAGTATGGGGTACCAGGCCCTCTGAAATGAGCTGTTGGGTCCCTGTATGACCGCTGTCAGAGCTTGGTCCGCATCACCGGCAGTTAGTCGAGCTATTTCCCAGTGAGATTTGGACTCCGCCAAGGCTGCCCTTTGTCACCGATTCTGTTCATAAGCTTTATGGACAGGATTTCTAGGTGCAGCCAAGGTGTTGAGCAGATCCATTTTGGTGGCCTGATGATCAGGTCTCTGCTTTTTGCAGCTGACATAGTCCTGTTGGCTTCATCGTAAAGTGATCGCTGGCTTTCGCTGGAGCGGATCGCAGCCGAGTGCGAAACAGCTGGAATGAGAATTAGCTCGTCTAATTTGGAGACACTTGTCTTGATTTGGAAAAGGGTAGAGTGCCTTCTCCTGGTCAAGGATACGGTCCTGCCCCAAGAGAAGTTTAATTATCTCAAGATCTTGTTCACGAGTGAGGAAAAGCTGGAGGGTGAGATCAGTAGGTTGATTGGTGCTGTGTCTGCAGTGATGTGGGCATTGCAGTCTGTTGTAGTGAAGAGAGAGCTGAGCCAGAAGGTGAAGCTCTCGATTTACTGATCGATGTATGTTCCTACCCTCACCTATGGTCATGAGCTTTGGGTAGTGACCGAAAGAACGAGATTGCGGATACAAGCGGCCGAAATGAGTTTTCTCTGCAGGATGGCCGGGCTCTCCCTTAGAGATAGGGCGAGAAGCTCGGTCATCCGTCAGGGGCTCGGAGTAGACCCGCTGCTCCTCCACATTGAGAGGAGCCAGTTGAGGTAGTGGCTCGGGCATCTGATTAGGATTCCTCCTCGCTGCATCCCTGGTGAATCTTTAACTTTATGACTGCATTCACCTGCACCACAACTGGTGTAAATGCCCTGATTAGACTCAATGATCTCTTAGTTATGAGAAACTGGACCACATCCATTCTGCATTTGGTGTGAACAAGACTTCACACTCTCTAGCAGAGCATCCTGCTGATGCATAGCTCTGCTCTAGGTTTCCTTCATGGTATTGTTTCTGGCTTTTATCTCTTTTCATTGATAAAAGCTGCTTTATTAATCATTTGGGTGGGAATGGGCCTCATGTATGGTTTTCATCTCTTTATGCATGTCAACATGACGACATACATTCTCACATATATTTTATTTTCTAAACTTAAAAATGCCGAAGCACATAAAAAGTAGTTGAAACAGAAAGTTAGAACTTACCTTGTCTCCCTTTCTCCTGCAGTCTTTTAATGTGACGTCTCTCCCTTATGTTCTGTGGTTCAGCTGGACTCAAGTCAATAACAACTGCTTAAATTTCGTCTCAGTGTTTGAATATTCAAAAAAAGGCTACATTTGTTTCTCTTTTGCACGAAGGCATACAGCCACATTAGCCGTAGATATCTCCAGCTGATATTTTCTTATGCAAAACCATGTTTGTTTCTTTATTTTCCATCTTTTTTTCTCTTCTTGTTCCACCACCACTATTATTACTAATGCTAGCTAACTGGTGCATTGCAATTATGCTGAAGGAGTACACAGGTTAAAAAGAACAAATGTAATGGCTGCTGCCTCTACTTCATCACTGCCTCATGGTGAGACCCCACCTCATCCTAGATCATTCCAACTGTCGCCGTCCAAAATGAACTGCTCTGTGGAGTCTGAGCTCTTGTCTGCGCTCTGTGGGAAAAATTCATCACAGTTAAAAGCGGACCTGAAGACTGCACATGCAGAGTCTCTCGTGTCTATCAGGTCTGACATGCAGGCGTTGAAAATGGACCTCTCGTCAGATATTTCAGAATCAGAATCAAAATCAGAAAAACTTTATTTAGCCCCGGGGGGCAATTAAAAAAATTTAAAAAAGCTCTGAGAGAAGACTTTTCAGGGAATTCAGAGGCATGGTGATGATGGACGTAGTTTTGGGGGGGACATGCCTCCCCACTCCCACTTTTCCAAAGTCAATTTTTGTTCCCTGTACTTTTTACCGTCCAAAAAAAATTGTTACGCTTTATTAAATAGACTCTGGTTGAGCACTAGGACCAAGTGGAAAACAACCACTTTTGTTGAAGCCTGTTTCCCATTAGGCCAGTCTATAAGCTCATCTATTGGCTCTGCTGATACTTGCTAATGTGTGATTGGCTGTTAATGCCACCTGTGTACTTGACTTTTCTGCATTTAGGCTGTAGTTTTATGCATTGTTTTTGTATCCTTACTGTAAAGACATTTCTTTCAGTGTTTGATTCCAGGGCCAGGGGACTGACCGTATTGATTAACACAAAATAGGTTGTGGCCTCTAACCCCAAAATTCCACTACCTCCGCTTCGCTCCGCTCCGCTCTGACATGAACGCCGGAGCAAAATTGGTCCCGTTGTAGTCAATCAGAGCAATTCCACTACTGTGGCCATGCTCCGGCAGTGCGGCCCCATGCACCGCCCTCTATTCCGGCGTCCGGCAAAAATAGAATCGATCCTATTTTCGCCAGACGCCGGAGCACCTCCGCAGTAAATGGACAGAAATCACAACGGCCCAACAGGAAAAGGAGCAAGCACAGTTTCCGTTTTTCACAATAAATCGATAAACAAAAGGCGTTTTTTGTTTCATATGCACAGGTTTAACAACTTTTAACAACTATCAATGGCAGCTGAAGTTTAAATGCACAAAAGTAAGCCATAAATACAGTTTCTACTATCAAAGTAGTCACACTTTGTTGATCCAAACACTGCTGATCTCTCAACACAAATGATGGGCAGATTAAACAGCTCATGCCGATGCTTCTCCCACACAACGGGTGTTTGGATCTAACTTCCGCGTTTATTGCTCGGACTGTATCGCAAGATCTCGAAAATCCCGCGCATGCTTGTTTTCCCCCCTCAGGTCTCCGCACCGG